TTACACATATATGTTGCGTTTGCATACATGTATTTATACATTGTAGGGCCCACAGGTCTACTCCTCCTTCCGGGGTTCATCTTAAGGAGTTACATTTTGGAAGTTGCTTGATTGCACTTCCTGCTTATTATTATTATTATTATTTCCCTTCTCGAATCTTCAATGGTGTTGAAGACTAGATAGTTGTAATTACTTGACCAAGACTTAAACTAGTTAGAATAGGATAATTATTGACTATATTTGTTATTATTGTATATAATTTTGTATTAGGCTTATAACTCTTATTTAAACAAAAGGGGAGGTAGGTGCTGTAGGAAGTCTTACAGCTAGTGGTAACCCACCCACTTAGCTGATGCAGAGCATGCGACCAGCCACTTTTCTGGCCTCTCTCTGTTCTGGTTGCAGATTTCGGTTTCTCATGTCCGTTCCAGCAGAGGATTCTGATTTGTAAGTTTACCCCTAAATAAATAACCATCTATTTCTCAATTCTGAGCTAGTGTGGGATTTCTTATAAGCGTCGGTTCCACAGACTTCTTGTTGCAATTTCGGGCTAAACATCCTTTTTGTTTCTGGGCTCTCTCTGCCCCCTTGGCTGTTAGCTACAGGGCCATTATTTACTCCATCTTGGGCCTGGTAATTTTCTACCTGCCTGGGGGGATTTCCATTGTGCAGCTGTTAGGTGTATAGGATTTTCCTAAACTTGAATAAACAGCATTATCTCCTCACAAATGACTGTGTCTCTTGTGTGTTTTTTAAAAGAGGAGAAGGAGGAGCTAGAGTGCTTGCTCAGTGGATAAAGTGCTTGCCATGAAAAAAATGTGAACCTGACTTTGATCTCTAGTACCGAATTTTAAAAAGTTAGGCTCAGGAGGGCATGTGCGTAATCTCAGCGCTGGAGAGGAGAGACAAGTGGATCGTCAGAGCTTGCTGGTCAGCTAACCTAATAAAAATAAGTACAATAGCAGACATGTATTGTGGTACATGTCTTTGCTCACTTTGCATACATTATGCTCTTTGGGCATTGTGAAATTACAACTAGATTGAACAAAAAATATGCCTCTACCTCCTGAGTACTGCACCACTACCTGGCATAAATACAAACTTTTTTTTTTTTTTTTTTTTTGGTTTTTCGAGACAGGGTTTCTCTGTGGCTTTGGAGCCTGTCCTGGAACTAGCTCTGTAGACCAGGCTGGTCTCGAACTCACAGAGATCCGCCTGCCTCTGCCTCCCGAGTGCTGGGATTAAAGGCGTGCGCCACCACCGCCCGGCTATAAATACAAACTTTTAAGCCCTGCCAGAAGACCAGACATTTTTGACACACTAAGAAAATAGCCTTCTGCGAGTATGGTGATTGGAATGAAAATGGCCCCATAGGATCATAGGGGCACTGTTAGGAAGTGTGACCTTGTTGGAGGAAGTGCATCACTGGTAGTGGACTTCTAGGTTTCAGAAGCTCAAGCCAGGCCCAGTGTCTCTCTCTCTTCCTACTGCCTGCCAATCTGAAGGTAGAACTCTCAGCTCCTTCTCCAACACTATGTCTGCATCTGTACTGTGATTCCCGCCATGGTGACAATGGACTAAACCTCTGAACTGTAAGCCAGCCCCCAGTTAAATGTTTTCCTTTGTAAGAGTTGCCAAGAGACCATAAGGTGTCTCTTCACTGCAATAAAACTCAAAGACAGGGAGTTCCAATTACTTCATAATGACAGACAACTCTCTGCAGGAAAACAGCACTTGGATTAATATAGTAGCAAATCTCTGCAGGGGAGCAGCTTCAGGCTGTAAACATCTCCTAGGAGGAAGCTGTGGTCTCATTTTCAGTCTACACTCTCAGCATCCACCAGGCGAAGGCCTTGCCCTGAGTCTGCCCCATGGAAGGTTTTGCCTTTCCCATGAGTCTGTTCCATGGAAGGTTTTTCCATTCCCATGATTCTGAGCTGATGTTGCCCTTGACATGGCCGTGCTTATGTCAACAGCACACATTTACTCGGGATTTCATCTGCTCCTTATACACTCACTCAGGACTTCCTACACACCCCACAGTCATGCTGTTTCATCACAGCAATAGAAAGTAACTAATAAGCCATTTTAGTTACGTTCTATTGCTGTGATAAAACAGCATGACTGTTCACAGATTGAAGGTGGGGTAGGGTTATTTCACCTTACAACTTGTTAAGTCCATCACTGATGGAAGCCAGGGCAAGAACTCTGGGCAGGAACCTGGAGGCAGAAAGTGGGGCAGAAGCCATAGAGGAGTGCTGTTTACTGACAGGCTCCTCCTGGCTTGCTCCATCTGCTTGCCTAGACACCTCAGCACCACCAGCCCAGGAGTGACACCACTCACAGTGATCTGAGCCCTCCCACATCAGTTATCGATCAAGAAAATGCCCCAAAGCTTGTTCACAGGCCAACCTGATAGGGGCATTTTCTCAGCTGAAGTTCCCTCTTCCCAATGATTCTACTCTAGCTGTGTCGAGTTGACATGAAATTAGCCAGTATAATAGGAATGAATTAGGCGCTAGATAATTTCTGAATGGAAAAACCTGCAACTTCAGGCTTTGGGATTTCTTAATGCATCGAAACTGTCTCTTCCTGGGAGTATCACATAAAAGAGCTGGGACATGGAAAGCACTCACCAGTATCCAGCCTCTTCAGTGATCTGTCATCTTCAAGTCACAGAATTTACCTGCAGACTTCCACCTTAGCTCCCTCTCTCTCGTCCCAAACTCGTCCATCTTGGTGTCATGTCTGTCCTTGTCCTAACACGTTAAAGATGCTCACCCTGGACAACCAGTTGATGTCTAGATAGGACTGGTTTCTGCATAGCTAAGAGGTGAGGTCTTTCTTTAGCCTCCAATGTACTCAGGTTCTTGGCACAGGTATTCCCAAAGCCATATATCCTGTCTTTTTTTTAAAACATATATTTTATTAACTTTTCTTGATTTTTGTGGCTTTCACATCACATATCCCGATCCCACCTATTTCCCACTTCCTTCCCCAGCATCCCCCCTTGCAACCCCCTGAAGTAAAACAAATTTCAAAAGAAAAGCAAAAAGCAAACCAAGCAAACAAACAAAGCGAAAGAAAGAAGAAAAAGGAAAAGGAAAAAGGAAAAAAAAAAAAGAATCTCTTTGTGGCAGCTGTGGTCACACACATTCCAGGGAAACCCAGGGATGATTCCCACACACATTTTACCCTTAGATCCTTTCATCTTCGTTTGCAGAGTTCATGGCCATGGGTCATCTGTCTGATTTGAGGCTTCCATCCTCAGTCACATTTTCTATAAGGAGTTCTCAATAGGACTCCCCATGGACTTTGCTTGTTGTGAATATCTTACAGTTTTGGGTCTGTAGGTTTGTCCCTTTCTCGTGCTCTGACAGTTCATAGATGAGGTGCGGTTGGGGTGAGCCAACTCACAGCCCTGGACCTGGGTGACAGCTGGTCAGCCTACCAGCTTTCCCATATTTTCACCCCTCTGCCACCTCTCTCTCTCTCTCTCTCTCTCTCTCTCTCTCTCTCTCTCTCTCATCACCTGCGCCAATCATCTCATACAGCCTGTTCTGCTATCAGTCCCTCGGTCCAGCTCACTAACACTCACACCACCAGGGCCGACTCTACTGTTTTGCTCAGACCAAGTGCAGAGGCCTCTATCCCAATTGTGGTAGGAGGCATACTGGGGGGGTGGGGGGAGGCTGGGTCAGCTCTCCTGTTCTCACCCTCAGGATTGGCTCACCTGCTTGCCCCTCACTGGCTGCAGCACGTGGGAAAACAAGCCCTGCATCCCGCCAGGGCAGTTCAGCACTAGAGCTGAACCTGTTGGTAGTGACCCAGGCACGCCAACCCTGAAGGCATGAGAGTAGAAGACCTGACCCCATCCCCTTCATCTGCCATGTGGTTGCCTGGGTGAGGGAAAGACACCCTCTCCCCCACCCCTTGCTACAGGTGGCAGGTGAGAGAGCTGGGCCTGGGATCAGGAGAGTAAGAGAACTAGCTCCTCAGCTGCAGCACATAGGAGAGGGGACCCTGGAACCCACCAGGGCACCACCTGAGAGCTATCCTGCCTTTTAACTCCCAGATGAAGCTGGAGCCCAGTCTTGAACCTCTGCATTAGCATCTTTTCATTGGTCTAACCTGAACCATCAACAGCATCTTAGCCCACCAGAGCCCTCTCTCTAGAGGAGTAAGAAAGGAATTGCATAATTCCTTACCTCAGGCTTTTGACCAAACACCCATCAGCAGTCCAAGGTAAGCATCAGCATGAGTTTGGAGGAAGTGAAATAAAAACTCAGACAGGAAAGGAAGAAGTCTCTGATGTCAAGCCTTAATACTCTGAGAACTCCTTAAATGTAACATTAAAGGATTCCTACATCATCTTGTGATGTGAATAAACGCTGGAATACTCATGTGCACATATATTTTCTCATCATAAAATCTGATTTATTATGCTTCCATCAGTAAGAAGTGTCCCTCAATCACCCTTCCAGACTTATCTTACCACAAAGGCAAGTATCTTTCAAGTGGCCTGAAGTCTACGAGATGCTACTATTCCCTACTTAGTCACCGATAAGTCATATTTACTCTGGTTTTGTAATCAGTTTCACTTTATTGCATCCTAATTCTTCATAAAACTGTATTTCAAACACAGTGTGCACAGTCACACTGAATAGACTCCTCCACAATGCAAGTGACTTGAAAGTGTGAAATACTGATTCGCTTTTACAAGGATTATTACAGAAAAGGGGTATCTGTGTGGGGGGAAGCATATCCTGATACACACATAGTAATCAGTCCATATCCTTGCACCGACCCACTATGAAAAATCCCGGGGTTAGATGAGTCTTTAATTGTAGTATTGCACATGGATTTATGCCATCCAGCCACACACATTTTCCCCATAGAAACATTTCCCAGATGAATCTGCTTTCTTCCAATGGGCAGTTGTCTCTGGCCAAGTGCTCATGAAGATTATGGGATGCATGTTTCTGTTGATGTCCAGCTTTTCAGTCCCATGCAGACTCTGTGTGCTCACTTTCTCCTCCAGGCTCCTCGAGAGCTGAAAATTCTGTTTCGATAAGTGGTTTCAGAAATCTCTCGACCTTGGTTAACCTTTTCTTGAGTTTCTGCTGCATCGACTCGTATTCAGCCAAGATGCGGGCAAATCGGGTTTGCAGGAGGTCGACTGAGCCTTCCATTCGTGTGACCTTCTCTTCCAGGTCTTTGGGGTCACTGCCCAGATTTGCGATGTTTAAATCCAGTAGACCATCTTTCATTAAGATCTGCCTTCCTTTCTCTTCCAGCATAGTTTTGGCATCTGGGTACTCCGTAAGCGCTTCCATGAGGTCATCTTTCGAGAGGCAGAACAGGTCTGAGTAGCCAATGCTTTTAATATTGGCTGTTCTTCGGTTGCCAGCCTTGCTGCCTTTGATATTGAGAATGCTGATCTCACCGAAGTAGCTGCCATCACTCAACACGACAAACTGGGTGATTCCGTCATCGGCCACCACAGCAAGTTTGCCTTCTTTGATGATGTACATCTCTCGCCCGATGTCCCCTTTCTTGCATATGTAATCGCCAGGACTGTACACCTGGGGCTGTAGCTTCAGCACCAGCTCCACCAGCAGACCAGCTTCACAGTCTGCAAAGATGCGGACCTTTTTTAACGTGTCTAAGTGGACGTTGATGGCGATCTCTGCCCTTAGTTTGTCAGGTAGGTATTTCAAGACTTCTTTCTCATCAACTGTTTTTTTGTTGGTCCAGAGGTAGTCGAACCATTTAATAACCCTCTTTTCCATATCTTTGCTCACATTTCGGAAATTCATGTATTGCTTGATAGCATCAACTCTTGCTTGAAATTCCGCCCTGGCTGCATTCATATTGGAAATCATGGAACCTATGTTACCGACAATGGTGGCAAAAATTAAAACTCCAATTAAGAAGTCAACTACCACAAAGATATACTCAGAATCCAGCACAGGAGGCGGAGTTTCGCCGATGGTTGTCAAAGTCAGCGTAGACCAATAAAGGCTGTAGACATATTTTCGAGACAAGCGGCCAAATTCAGGATCATTCACGTCGGGGTAGACCCATGTGTCATTCCCAAATCCAATAGCCTTCGAGATGGAGTAGTACACACACGCGTTCCAGTGGATAATAATGACAATGTACATGACAAGGTTAGAAATCCTAAAGATGTTTGGATAGTTGGTCCTTGTCTCTGTGCGCTGGAAGAACTCAAACATTCGAGAGATCCTCAACAGCCGGTTTAACCTAATTTCTGGATAGTTCCACCCTATCTTGAAATACAGCAGATCAGTGGGTACCATTGACAGAACGTCAAGTTTAAACTGCAAGTTCGCTTTATACTTCTCTATGAGTTTTACTTTGTCCTTCACCAGCAACCCTTGTTCCAGGTAACCTACAGTAGAAGAGAGAAAAGACGGGCTGTTTCTGCTTGCTATGCCACTGTGATTTTTTTTTCTATAGTAACTCTTTTTTTAAAAATAATTTATCTAACTTTATGTTTGTTGGTAGAAGGTGTCAGATCCCCTGAAACTGGAGTCCTAGACAGTTGTGAGCTGCCCTGTGGGTGCTAGGAATTGAACCCACGTCCTCTGGAAGAGCAGCCACTGCTCTTAACCACTGAACCATCTCTCCAGTCCCTCTACAGCAACTCTTAATCAGCTGTGTTTAGGACAAAATAAGAATACTTTTCAATAAATATATCTTTAGTTTTAGAATGACCCCTATGACCAAACCTACATGTCATTATAGAAGAGTCTGTTGTAGAAATAGAAAAATGACACTTTTTAGTGTAATATATAGACAGATAGGTAAGTAGGTAGGTAGATAGAATGATGGATTGGTTGTTTGATATATGATTTTAGCTACACAGGTAAAATCATTTCTCTAATGAATCACATTCATATTCTGCAGCATTATTATAAATTGCATATTTGGTTCCTGTCCCCAATTTCGGACACACCACTGTTAAAAACCTTATGAGTTCCCGAGAAACCAAAATGCTAGTGGTATCTTTTGTTCTGATATTTGACCATGGCCTCAGCTCTGGATGCAGAGCTCCAGCGCTTGGTGGTAAAAGTATCTTTGTTCTGTGAGGCAACTCCTGGCAGGCTCCTAAATGGGGCTGGTCACCAGAAACAGACATTTACAGACTCGACATTCTTAACCTCCACCCCCACTTTCTCCAGGAGGAGAGGTGCTGGAAAGGAACTTAATTCTGCTACTTATTGTGTTTATACGATAAAAGCCTTCCATAAAGATCATTGGCTTTGTTGTGGCCAGATTACGACCCCCAGAGAGACCACCAGAGAGGCCCAGACTAAGCAAGGTGTAATCAGCATAATACAAACATGTTTGGAACTCATCTCCATCCCTGTTACAATGAGGTAGAGAGAGGAGTTGTATCTCCTCTGTGGGGTAAGCTTTTAAAGGCATAACTACAAAGAGAATCTTTGAAGCTGCTTTGGCACAGGTACAAGAACTTTTGCTCCTTCCCATTTTGTTAAGTCAGCTTTTTCCTTGTTCTTAGAGCAAGGCCACTGTTCTTGAGTTAGGCCATCTTTATCAGCTTGTACCAGGAGGCTGGCTGGGCTGAGCAAAGTAAAGTGACCTTGTGTTCAATATTTCCCTGGTGGGAGAGGGGAAGGCCACTATCTTCCTGGGAAAACATTCTGCTAGAATATTTCTTCTTGCCCCCTTGAGAATAAGGGGTGAGGGTCCCACAGCTTTGGTGATCAGAGAGCATCCAAGTGAGAGAGCAAATGCAGGGTGTTAGAAGGGTGTCATACCCTAATTCCGTGAGGACAACAGCTCCTGCTCTCCAGCCCTTCCACACTTGTCCTCCGTACCTCTGCATCTGCCTGTTCACCTCTTTTATTATATCCTTTACTAATAGATTAAACTAGAAAATGTGTTTTTGTTTTTTGGTTTGGTGAGCCATGCTAGCCAATACTGAAGCTGAGGAGGGATCGTGGGAAGCCTAATGTATAGTTATTTGACCAGAAATGCAGGTCGAGTCGTGTGCTATCCCGGCCAGCGGGATGCGAACAGTGGTCCCTGATAAACCTATGGGAGAGGAATGGAAGAGCAAGAGACAGGAGGAGTGACGGCAAGACAGTATTTCTGATCAAACCCGCCGTTTAGTATATCCTCAGAAGCTGTTTATATAGCAAATGGGCAAAGGGGAAGGGAAGGGGTGTCATGTCTGCAGGAATTCAAGCCTGGAGACATCCCAAGCCGAAAAATAAATACGGAGGGTCTGTGATTGTTGACTAACGAAGGAAAATGCAAATTGTTTGCTAAAAGCCTGGTGCCTGCAGGTCTCACTAGGCTAATGTCCTAGGTCCAGAACTTGCCTGCAAGTTAAGATGGCTGTAAACAAAATACAGATCTCAAAATACAGGTGTTTGCTTCCGGCAGTGTGCCTGACACCTGAAGTAAGGAAGAGCCTTATCAGGCCCAGTCCATAACCTGCAGGGTCTCACTAACTCTAGTTAGCTTCAGAACCGATGACATTGTAGCAAATGTTGCAGATACTCCTTGGCAGAATCCTAGGCCTGCTCTCAGAAGTGTGGACACCTGCCCCGTTATCACACTGTTTCACGGGAACATGCTTTTCGCCTTCAGCGTGAAACATCAATCTCTTCAGACTGCATTTGCCCTCCTCGCTCTTGTCCTGCAGGCTGTCCTTCATCACCTAGGATCTTCTCTTCTGGGCAGTTCCTGTGGGCCTCGCGTGCGTGCTTGCTGAAGCCTTGTGTCAGTAAGGGAGTTTGTTTCTCCTACGGTGGCTACTACAGGGACAGCCAAGCTCCGGCAGCTGAGCCCTGCGCTGACCTCTAGAGAGCAAGCCCTCAGCGACCCTTAGAGGCTTCTATGCTGTGTGTAGTATTTACAGCGTGGGGGGGGGGGGGGTCAGGGAAGGGAGCAGTGTGAAAACAGTACACTTTACACCTGCTTACTAAACACACTGTAAGTAGAGAGGCGGGGGATGGTAAACCCTACTTAACGATACACCACTGTGAACCACAAAGTTTATATTTCCTGTAAAATCTCTATTAAGAGGCTTCTGGAAAGCAGTGACACTTTTCTTTGTGCCCTTTTAAAGTATCTCCATATGTGGCAGAAATTGCCCTTTACCCACAGAGACTGACTAAATATTTCTGTTCTTTATTCTTCTGCCTGGCATAAACCCAATAACTAAGACAATGAAGAAAAAAACCACTAATCCACACTCAAAAAGTTACTTAGGGGACTGGAGAGATGGCTCAGGGGGTAAGAGTACTGGCTGCTCTTCCAGAGGACTTGAGTGCAATCCCCAAGCACCCACATGGTAGCTCACAACAACCTGTAACTCCAGCCCTAGGGGATCTGACACCCTCTTCTGGCCTTCTCTGGTATTGCATGCACATGGTGCACAGACAAATAAGCAGGCAAAACACCCATATTCAAAAAAAAATAAAATAAAATAAAATAAAGGTTAGAAAAGATTAAGGTGTCCTAGCAACATCTTCCTGGATCAGTTGGAGTGACCTAAGCCAGCGAGGGGGAACACATCACTCATGTTTTCCACTGAGGTTGTGAGTTTACCTTGAAGAACAGTTGGGTGTGGAAATTTCATTATTATATAGTAGAGATAAAAGCAAGAAATTTCAGACGACCCAAAGTAGATCACACGTACCTGTCCTTGTTCGTACGAACATGTCAACAACGTAGATCATGTCTGATACATAATCAAAAATGAGCCAGTATTCTAGGTAATCAGACTGGAGTTCATCAAAACATGCTCTATAAAAGAAAGACGTGCATAAAAAAATGACATGGAGACGGATTGAAATAGAAAGCCGCTTTGTGTATATTGTTTGTGATGAGACATACAGCATGCTAAGGCTAAATGGGTTTTTAGAATGTATTTGGTCAATCACAGTTTTTCCAAATCATTCCTTTCACAGGAATGATTCATTTCCTCATATTTCTGAATTCTAACATCTTTTCCATCAATACTAGTTGGACTTGTATCGATAGACATTAGGTAAGAATTAGCTGGGCATGGTGGCTCATGCCTTTAATCCCAGCACTTGGGAAGCAGAGCAGGAGGATCTCCAAATTCAAGACCAGCCTGGTCTGCAGGGAGAGTTCCAGGACAGCCAAGGCTACACAGAAAAACCCTGTCTCAAAAGCCAACAACAACAACAACAAAGAAGACATCGTTTCAGCTGGCAATCCTTCCATGACAAGGTGCTCGCATGAGGTTCTGCGTTCAGTCCTCAGAACCCACATTAACAGCGCGGCATCGACAACTAGACTGCCGTGTTGGCACACGCTTGTCCTCCTAGCTGCGGAGCAGCAGAGAGGAGCATGGCCCCACGCTTCACTGCGGCCAGTCCAGTCATATCGGCAAGTTCCCGGTCAGTGAGAACCCCTATCTCAAAACACAAGGTAGAGAGCATCCTGAGGACACACAAGGCTGACCTCTGACCTCCACACACATATGCACACATGTGCATGTGGACCCTCACACACATATCCCGTATATATGCATAAAATAATAAATAGCTTGAAGCTAAAGTCAAATATCACGGGGTGAAACTCATTGATCACCAAGCTTGTGTTAAGTTGGGAGCTTAGGCCCCAGCCCCTTGAGTTTATCCTAGCCCCCTGACCCTGAGAGTTAGCACTCTGGACTCCAAATCCCAGCAAAGTGGGGTCAGAACCATTCCCCAGGGTATTTAAATGAGCTCCCAAAAGAAGAAAACAAGGTCCCTTTTCCTTCCTCCAGGGGGTCGCACTCGCACCCCTTGGGGCCACCCAAGAGTGTGGAACTCCCATTAAACCAGGATATTTCTCAATTTGGCATGTTTTGATTTGGCTTGATTGGGAATTTTGCATCAGCAGGGAGCTTGCGTTAGGAAATATTCCTAACAGCTTGTATTTCCTGTCTGCACCCAAAAAGTCTGAGGGAAAAATGTTCCTAATCTTGAACAACTGAGATGTTTCTAAAAGATACCAGATCTTTCATTGTTTTCCATTATTATTATTATTATTATTATTATTATTGATAGACCGAGAATTACAGTTTCTCCTAGTGCCCGAATCCCATGACTGAACAATTAGAAGTTTAAAAGAACACGTCTACTCTCCTCCCCGTCTCATCCCAGGACTGTACGTCCACGCATGTTGAGAATCAAAGACACCCTGACCTCAGGTGAACACACTGAGAATGATTCAGCCACGTTTCCCAACATGTAGTGGAGAAGATTGTCCCAAGAACCCTAGGTCAAAGTATGCAGGCAGTAGACTTCTAAGCGTTCTGATATCCACAGAAAACACATATGGAAACCTTGCAATTATCATTGTCCAGTTGTACATCACAGGTAAAGTGATGCAAAGCAGCCAGTTGTAGTACGTGTTTCCTGAAGGATCAACAATCACCACTTCTTTCTTCTCCCTAGCCACAATTAGAAACAAAGGGGACAGTTAGTAAGAAACAAGCATATTTGCATTTATCGTATCAAATATGGTATGTCAATCAACCATGATTGTGCTGTTGCCGAAAGCATCGTGGCTTTGGGATACTTGTCAGGCAGTAGAGACTACTCCAAAGTGTTGATGAGATTATCAGGTTTTTATTTTGGTCTTTACAGACTCATGAGCTCCTAGGTACCTGATGATCATTATTCTGAATATCTAGAGGAAGTTCTTCCTCAGCGATGCTTGTGGGGGAGAATTACCCAACACAGCAAAAATCCTTAATTAGGAAATTCATACTAACTAACTTTAGGGAACCTAGATGAAAGCTTTTAATCTCTTTTGATAGCAGTTTATACAAAATGTTTGTTCTTATTTAAGGACATTTGCCTTTATTTGGGCCTCTTTGCTCCAAAGCTTTCTCTATGCTTTGGGAAATTTTACCTACGTCTAAAACCCATTGCCAGCTCATGTCTATTTCCAATGTCAGTAAAAACTATTTACTCTTCCTTCTTGTCTTTGTCTTTCTCCTCCTTCTTTTTCTTCTCTTTTTCCTTCTCCTTCTTCTTTTTCTTCTCTGGGTCCTTCTTATTTTCATTCTTATCATCTGCCTTGCTGGAAAAGTTGAGTATGTATTGTTACCATATGCAAATAACGCACAGACAGAAAAACATTTAGGGCCATTCATGCAAAGTCTGGCTTACCTCTTCTTCTCCTTCTTCTTTTTCTTTTTTTCTTTAGGGTCTCTAAAGAAAAAGAGCATCTGTCACATGATCACACCATTAAACCCCCGTTTCTTTCTACTTTCCTTTCCATTGAGCAAGGATTCTTAGCCATGCAATCAAAGTCCTGCCACGGTTCTTGGAAACTAAAACGGTGGCCAAAATAAATAAATCTCCGAATGAGTATACTTCCAGAATTCTAATATGTGAAAGCAATGTTTTTTTTACTTTAAGTGTTTGATACCATTTTCATATATATTCAAATTAAAACATTGAGACTCTCAAAAAAATGCCATAAATTCTTTTTCAAGGGAATAATCTTGTTGACAGCATTTTTTTTTTCATGAGTGGTAAAAAGCTCTGTGGTCATTCAATCAGGTCATGAGGTTGGACATTAACCCAGAATATGGTCAAGCAGGAGACCTGAGATAGAACATAAACCACGGGGAAGAAGTTGCTGAGAAGGTGGATAAGCACATCATGCCAGCCCATATCACTCACCGCTGTGTCATCCGCACCCACCCCTCATGGCCTACCTGTAGGAAGGGTTTTTTAGGAGTAACTATTGGAGCATAGATCGTGGATGGGTTGGGTTGGCAACCCCAAGGAGGCTATGTTTATACTATGAAACTATCTACAAGTGGTTTGGAAACGCAGTGGTGTAGTCGATCTCCCCAGTGACACAGCTTCAAGTACCATTCAGTCGCTTACTCTCTATGGAAAAGGATGGTTAACTTAAGGATACCTGAAGATTCGCAAATGCCTTAACTGTTTGGTTAAGGACCTAGATGGGAAAAGGACTGAATGATCAGGCAGAACAGGTCTAGAGAAAAGGTAGACGAATAGATTCGTGGGCACAACGTTTGAAAATCCTTGTATCCCAGGTAAGAGAATAACCAAGTAGACTGAAGGATTCGGCTAGCTGATTAATCCAGCCTCCATGGGGCATCTGCATGCTGGCACAATGTAGTTAAAAGTACGGCATCCATGGAAACAAAAACTAAAGGCCATATTTGGGCACAACACATGGCCTCCTGCTCACTATAGCTGGTGTTGAGCATCGTGCCTTTAGTTACAGGGCATTTGGATCATGTAGGTAGCACTGCTGTTATAATGTGACTCCCATGCTTAGTTCCTAAGGAGAGTAGTCACTTGATGGCAAATTAACTATGTTGGGTCCTTGTCAACAGAGAAAAGACATCAAATATTTTGATACTAACTGATTTATATTATGGTATATATTGCTTTTTGCTACAAACTTGACCAGTATCACTGTGTAGGTGTTTCTAAAGCATGACCCCCCTATACAGACTGCTGTGTAGCAACATTTCAGGTCTACTTTACAGAAAAAGAAAAGTGGTGTTGGATACTGCCTTGGATAGGATTACTATTGCTGTGAAGAAACACCATGACCAAAAGCAAGAGAGGGAGGAAAGGGTCTATTTGACTTACGCTTCCACATCACTATTCATCATCAAAGGAAGTCAGGACAGGAACTCAAGCAGAGCAAGAACCTGGATGCAGGAGCTGATGCAGAAGCTGTGGAGGGGTACTGCTTACTGGCTTGCTCATCATGGTTTGCTCAGTCTGCTTTCTTGTAAACCCAGCACCACCAGCCCAGTAATGACACCACCCACAAGGACTTGGCCCTCCCCCATCAGTCACAAAGTAAGAAAATATCCTACAGGCCAATCTTTTTTTTTTTTTTTGTTTGTTTGTTTTTTTTTTTTTTTTTGTTTTTCAAGACAGGGTTTCTCTGTAGCTTTGGTGCCTGTCCCAGAACTAGCTCTTGTAGACCAGGCTGGCCTCGAACTCCCAGAGATCCGCCTGCCTCTGCCTCCTGAGTGCTGGAATTAAAGGAGTGCGGCACCACTGCCCGGCTCCTACAGACCAATCTTATGGAGGCATTCTCTCAACTCAGGCTCCCTCCTCTCTACTGACCATAGCTTGTGTCAAGTTGACATAAAAGTAGCCAGCACAGATACTGAGTTTGGAATCTAATGGTCCTATTGTATGCTACTCCACCCAGAAGTGTCTGATGTGGTACAGGTATGGAGTGAGCTTCAGAAGGCACCACCGAAATGTTGCCATGGAGTGCAGATTTCTTGAAGATGAGTTACTATAATCTAGGATACTGTGTGTGTGTGTGTGAGAAAAGACTGGTCGGGCATTAGGTGGTGCTCTACGCCTATACATGAATAGAATGAATCGGTCTAGGAACTAAGGTACTTAATGAGGGAAAGTACACTTCCCAACCCTGCACATCTAGGTTTTGTGCCTCTAGAGGTCCTCATTTGATGAGAGAGCATCTACACTTCTGCCAAAGAGAACAGCTACAGTCCTATTAAATATTAATCTATGACTAGTCCCTGGCCACTTTCGACTCCTCGTTCCAAGAAACCAATTGGCAGAGAAGAATCACCAGACTGGAAAGTTTATGATGCTGATCATCAAAGGTAGGCAGTGTTGTTGCTATGCAATGAAAAGTCAGAAAAGTATCTGACGGGCACATGATCCATGATGGCATCTTTTGGATTTCCCCAACCCGTCTTTGATAGTGGATGGACGAGTCTAGTAGCCACATCCCAAGGAAGGCATGGTGATTAGCTATATGTCTGCATTTCCCTAGACCGGGAGAAATTCTGCACAATGATGAGAGGGCTCTAGAATGAATAAAAATAGATAAGGGGTTTCTGTGTAAACCTCAGAAACATCGAAAGTTGTCAGAGATCTTTCTGCAGCCCGTTGACCTTCTTACAAGCTTGAACAGGACAAAAGAACATCCAGAAGCCTTGGAAAGGGCAGCCCAGAGTTTTCCTTTAAGAGAGTGCATCTGAGCAGGGCACAGCTGGGTTGTGAGGCTACAATTACACATAGGTTTCAGGTATGCATTCTCCACGCACCAACACTTGAGTGCTGACAACCCAGCTTCTCCTTGCCCTCGGAAAAAAGGCCTAGAATGAGGAAACCACTACCATTCTAAAATTTATCTCCCAGCTTCCTGGGGCTGCTCTCATTGGATGACTCCCTGTGACTGCAAAGGCCCAGTTCTGTCACCTGAGGATGACACAGAGCTGAAAGCACATACGGATGCCAAAACTCCCATAAGAGCAAACCTCTTCTCTGAAATCAGCATCTCCCTCTGCCCAGGTAATTCTGTCACCCTCACTCCCTTCCAGATGTCATGCTAAAGGGCACATCCCATAAATATCTACACACAGACCTCTGTCTCAGAGGCTGTCTCCTGAAGAATGTGGCCCAAGGTACACGGGTTCAGTGTTGTGTGACCTTTGGCATCCATTCTGTCCTAAGGAAGGGCAAATTGCATATATAACATGGACCTTTTAACAAACATATTCAAGTAAATGAATAAAATATAGACATGTCAATTTTAATAGGGAACAGATACATTTTCCAGATACAAACAACATATATCTGGAAAAAGCAAACAGAAAAATAACAGAATGTCGTCTCTGTTAAATTAGTTCAAGCACTAAGTATTAGCTGTATCTCAAATGCAGATACTGCTAGTTATTTTTACTTGTTTTCATTTTCTTCCGTAGATGTACTTACTGCTCTTTGTTGCTGCTGTTGTTAACATTGAAAAGAGCCATAGTGCCTGGCAAGTACTGCTCCCTGGAAGAGGAAAAACACAGAGAGAGCACAATGACCACTCTGCTCATGGTCAGCAAACTGCCTTAAAAAACAAACCACTACAGTTTCCTGCTCACTTTATAACATTGCCCAGGTCACTGCTTAAGATGGACAGAACTTCTGTGACACACAGCTTGCCAGAAGCCAGTGCATTGACCCCAAGTGGTTAGCGACTGATTGTTGGTTAAGCGCATACCAAAAATTAGCGTCATCTCTGGCCTGGAGTGAGCCCAGATGGATGGCACCAACTTCCACCAGAAGACCCCAGATAGTCAGAGAAGACAGAAAGAGGAGGAATAAATACTTCAAATAAATAAGTAGAAAGCTAGAGTTAGACACAGGAATAAATAAAAAGAGGGAAAATGATAACAAAGAATAAAATACATTGCATAGGATCAGAAACCCTGATCCCTGCTATACCACACTCCTTCAACCTTCAGTGGCTTCAGGGTCTATACTTGAATGTGACTGCTTTACTTCCCGTATGGTCATTATACTTTTCTAATCTCACATTTTATTTCCTGGGAGCAGGCTCTGCCAGATCTAGCAGTTTAGAGAATGATAGCCCACCCTCTCGTATGCAGCTCCAGGACTCTGAAGAAGGAATTCAAAAGAAGTAGGAAATTAAGGAAATGTGGGGACCCAGACACACCCAAGACTTTCTAAGAGGCCCTGATGATAAGACAAAGGCAACTTTAGTTCTCTGTCATTGTCCAGGAACAGATTTGGCAAGGCCAGGCCAGTCTGAGACTGGAGCCAGGGCCTCGAAGGAGTCAAGATTGTAGATTCTTAAGACCCAGCTCTTCCCCAGAGCTGTGATTATCTGTCCTGAGGCATCTGTGTCTAAGTTGTATTCTCTTTGCTAACATCAACTGATTTAGCTCTCTGCTGCCCTTGGCCATTTTCTTCCCGTGAATAGTATATATAAAGCCATACTTCTTAAAGCTGCTCAGCGTAACTCATCAGTTTATGCAATGCCGCCTGGTCCCAGTTATTGCTTTGTCTTCTCTTTTTCTCATCTTTGTCTCCCATCCCCAGTTCTCCTACTCAACATCTCACTGTTTGGGACCCTTATTCCTGCAGGCTCAGGTCAAGGGAGGAACTGGGGCAAGTTTCTGAGGAACAGGCATTAGTTTCAGGGAACATGACGGGGAATATTTATGACTGGGAACCCTGGGATCATAAATAATTAAACGTCAGCAGCTTTCCAAAAGAGGGCAAAGGTAAGGGACAGAAATAGCAAGGTACTCAGGAGATCTTGCAAAGTGTCTCATTGACAAGAGCATGTGTCAAGCCACCCCGTAGAAGGAATAGGAGACTTTTCATTTCAGTGATATTTAAAAGACGCATTTCGGCAGGTAGACGGCCCCGCTCACCTCTGGGATGGTCCTTGCCTTCTGTGTGAGCTGTTTCTAAAGAAAGAGTCCTCACTCTCTGCTTCAGACAGAGAGGCATTGTCGTCGTCAGAAAAGGAGCTGCCAAAGAGAAGCAGAGGTGAATTGGATTCGTGTTTTAACCGGCCCACCTGTCATCCAGGTGAGCCCTCACTCCATCACTTTCCACCCCTCTTCAGACCCACGCACATGTATGGTTAGAATAGGTAGGAACCTATTTTATAGAGTGTGTGCCCAGTGATTGCTAGGAATACACTCTTCAGATCTTCACCATGGCTACTTTTAGATGCAATGGTCAATGTCAATGTTTATCCAATAGTACCTAATTTTAGATTATTTTATACATATGAATGAACTACCACTTCCTGATATTTCCTTCTATTAAAAGAAAATTCTATCACATACACATATTCTAGTCATTTAAGGGTAACTATTTCAAATCATACTATCAAATTATATTGTTAGATTTCATATTCTATATACCTTTTCACATTGATGTATAGCAACATCATCTATTTGGGTTTTATATTTCCCACGGGGAAAGTAAAGAAGTATTTGCCATAGTCCCTTATAGGTGCTTCCATAAACAACCCTCCATAACACTCTTCACGCAATAGACAAGCTTCGCTTGTATAAATACATTCACTAAATTAGATAGATAATGAATTTTAAGAATACAAATTACAAAGCTAAATTGAAATCTAGCCTGGATAAGCTAAAACAAAAACTGTGCTTGCATTAACAAGGTGTGAGAAGGAGCATAGCTTCACCTGCACGCTCCGTTTTCCATCCGCCGGATTTCCTGTCCAGTAGCTGGGACGATCGCATTGGGGATTCTTACAAAGGACTGCCATGTGTTGATAATATTTGTCTTCATGGTGAGGTTAAGGTCTGAGAAGAAATGAGACTTGTTAATGAGAAGACGTTTTTATGTTCACACGTCAGGGGCTGGGCTGCAACAACAGAGTTTTACTGAGGAGGAAAACGTGTCCAGGCTGCGGTTCCTCAACTGAGCCACACTGTTCCACACCTCCGTGCCTTTGCCCGTGACCCTGGGACTGAGGCTGGGCAGGTGCTTGCCATCTCTGGAGTCCGATGCAAGGACTCCTCACTCCGAAGTAAACTAACCACATTCCCCCTTTTCTGCTACAGCAATGTACACACATTGGAATAATTTCCTCATATGCTAAACCGCCATGTTCTCCATCATCACAGCTACACTGTAAGCTTTGTAAAGAACTCTGCCTCAGCGACAGGGTGCTTGGCACATAGTAGGCATTCAGGGAATGGCTGCTCATTGAGCAAATCCTGTTTTGTTTTCTGTGATGGGGACATGCTATTGCTTCTTTGATGTTGTGAATAGAAGCTAGGGCCTCACACATGGTAGACATGTTCTCTACCACTGAGTTCTACTTCCAGTCCTAAATCTTGGTGTTACATTTTAACAACTCTACTCTACTCGCATAACTTTTCCTCAGAAGTAAATTTGGTAAATTTACAAGGATTTTTGAAACAGTTGTTGGGTGTTAAATACAGGGAATGACCCACAGCATCTAATCCTCTCCCTTGGCCCACAGCATCCAATATTGTCCCTTGGCACACAGCATCTGATCCTCTCCACTTATGATGTGCTTTTGTGGTCTACCAAGACAGAACAAAATAAAAATACCTGCATGTCCCAGAGTCCTGTGCAGTTCAGTTTATCAGTGTCTTTAAGGATTACACAGTCATATACACATTTATGATACTTGGAAAGCAGAACTGAGATTTAAAAAATCAACAACAGTCAGCAAAAAAAGGCAAGGGGCCTGGTGGTGGTAACACATGCTTTTAATCCCAGCATTTGTGAGACAGAGGCAGGAGGATCTCTATGAGTTCAAGGCAAATCTGGTCTACAGAGCAAGTTCCAGGACAGGCTCCAAAGCTACAGAGAAACCCTGTCTCAAAAAAAACAAAAACAAACAAACAACAACAAAAAAAGAATAGGCAAGGGGACCCCTGGGTTTTCTAAGGCAGAAATCCCTGGTCAGTCAGTCACCAGTTCTTTGGGTTCTAAGAACCAGGAGTTCAGTTTGTGCTGGGGAGACTGTAGTAGAATGGGCATCCTCTCAGATCTGCTTGGGAACCATGCTTGGAACTCAGTCTGGAGCCTGTTACCCCAAGCTTTACAATGGCCCTTAGGTCCTGGTCCCCCAAATTAAAGCTAAGGAGAAGAGGAAGAGAAGGGGGCAGAGAAGAACTGGTGTGCCATCTAGTGTTTGAAAATGACCAAACTCTTTTCTCGACTGTCAGTACACAGAGTGCTGGAAAACACTGTCAGAATGAGAGTCAGGGAGGAGATTAGATGGCAAGTATATAAAAGGCAAGCAAGAAGGAAGATGGAGAAGTGGGAGAGGGAAAGAAAGGCTGATGCATCATCCAGATTTTATGATTTGGAGAAAATATAAGAGTAACATTGGGTCTGGGGAGAGGGCTTGGTAAATAGATAAAGTACTTGCCATGTTAGCATGAGGACCTGGATTAGACTCCAGGAACCCAGTGCCAGGCAGGCTTGGAATCTGTGAATCCAGAGCTTGGGAGAAAGGGACAGGATCCCCTGTCAACTGGCTAGCTAGACTGGATAAATTAATGACGTCTGGGTTCAGGGGAGAGACTCTGAGTCGATATATAAGGTGGAAAGGGATCAAGAAAGGAACCTGGCATCAACCTTTGGCTTCCATATGTGTGTTTAACCATACATGGACATACACATAGTAATATACACATGCAAACATGCATACACACACCGCATACACAGACATTATAAAATAGAATGTTAGTGGCCAAACTTTTCTGCTGCTGTTTGGAGATATGCGTAATATTTTCTATAATTTACTGCAAAGTTTTCTGTTAGTCTAAACTTTCAAGACAATCAGAATATTTTCTCCTTAAATGCACTCATAGGTCATTTATTGAAGGACCAAAAATCATTACAAAGTATGTCCCAAGTTCACGAGTGTGGGAGTTTGAATATAACTGGGCTCTATCATCTCATAGGGAGTGGCCCTATTAGGAGGTGTGGCTTTGTGGGAGGAAGTGTGTCACTGTGGGGGCAGGCTTTGAGGTTTCTTATGCTCAAGATACTACACAGTGTGTCTCAGTCCACTTCCTGTTGCCTTCTGATCAAGATGCAGCCAGCACCATGTCAGCCTGTATGCTGCCATGCTCCCTGCCATGATGATAATGGAAGGAATCTCAGCAACTGTAAACAAGCCACCCTTTGTGAAATGTTTTCCTTTATACGAGTTGCTTTGGTCACGGTGTTTCTTCACAGCAATAGGAACCTTAAACTAGGACCAGCATGAGAAGAAATTAAAAGAAAGATGAGGCTGGGCCAGCAGATGGCTTGGCGGTGATGTGGTTTCCATGCGACCATGAGGACCTGAGTTTGATTCCTCAGAGTGCATGTAATGCTGCTGTGTGGTGATGTGTGCCTGCCATCCCAGTGCTGACAAGACAGAGACAGCAGGATCCCTGGGGCTCTCTCATCATCCAGACTTTTTAAATGAGAAGCTTCCAGACTCAGTGAGTGGAGAGTAATTGAGGAAGACGCCCAGTGTCAACCTCTGGCCTCCCCACACTGCACCTTCCCTGCACACACGTGTGCTCATGTACACCCTAAGCACACACAACTAAAGATAACAGTGATGCAGAAACACACTTCCCTCATCCTAGGAATGTTCTGGTAGCTGTAGAACTGCTCTCACTGGACAGAAACCATACCGAGGTATCTATACTTTAGGAGCTCTGATCAGCTTTGTTCACTTCGCTACACTGTACACCTGCCAGTGTACATGGCAGGCATGTTTACATTTATGATCATGCTGTTCCCATAGCATGAATTCTTTTCCAATATTGATTGTGTGTGTGTGTGTGTGTGTGTGTATGCCTGAGTGTGTGTATGTATACAACATGTGTGCAGAACATATAGAGAAAAGAAGTGGATAGGACCTCCTGGAGTGACAGACAATTGTGAGCTGCCATATGGGTGCTGGAACCTGAAACCGAGTCCTCCACAAGAGTAAAAAGGACTCTTAACTATTGAGCCACTTCTCCAGCCCCCTGTAACATGAACTCTTCATTGCTTTCCAAGATAGAATCCTACTTACTGATCAAAAACCAATTCCTCTATCCCCTCTGTGATGACTTCAGTAATTTTTTGGGAGGAAGAATTCATCACACATTTTTGTTCCCATTGTTCTCTGTGTCTACCTCTTAATACACAGGTACTTCCAGCTCTCACAGTGTTCAAAGGTGCTGCACAAACTTCCAAGGAATAAAACAATCAGCTCTCTATCCACCTGTGAAGCCCACTGACCACAACAGCGACAGGCCCATGAAGGCATACCCAGAGGCCCTTATACATTGTTGAGGAGCACAAATGGGGGCAGCCACTATGTAAATCAGTTTGGCACTTTCTCAGAAAAAGAAAAATAGAACTACCATGTGACCCAGATATTCCACTTCTAGTACCCGAACGTATCTAAGGCATTCTACAGAAATATGTGTACATCCACATTGATTGTTTTTATAGTCCCAGGAGCTAGGAAATGAAATTATTCCATGGACAATGGCAATGTGGCACACACACAATGAGATTTTATTCAGCTGGAAAGGAAAATGAAATTATGAAATATAAGAAAATTGGTGGATCTGGAAAACATACCAAGAGTGGTAGGCCAGGCTCAGAAAGTCAAATGCCTCATGTTAGCTCTTATATGTAGATAAGAGCTTTGAATATTTAAATTTCCATGTTTATCTTGGAATGTCTGTAGAGACCTGAAATCTAGAAAGAAGCTGTGATGGATTGGGGAAGTTTTTCAGAGAGACGAGGCTAATAGAACCCATGTTCTATGAAAGTAGGAGGAACACTGGGGTGGCCACGCTAAGACAGGCATGTGGAGGTAGGAGGATGGACTTGAGAAATGATAGAGGGAAGAGTCACCAAACTAAGAACATATGAAGAAGTCATATGGAAACCTATAACTTTAAAATTTAATTAAAAATACAATTTTGAATATTAACCTTCAGCAAGCGATGAAAGGAGACAGAGACAGAGACCCACATTGTAGCACAGGACTGAATTCTCAAGGTCCAAATCAGGAGCAGAAGGAGAGAGAGCACGAGCAAGGAACTCAGGACCATGAGGGGTGCACCCACACACTGAGACAATGGGGATGTTCTACTGGGAACTCACCAAGACCAGCTGGCCTGGGTCTGGAAAAGCCTGGGATAAAACCAGACTCTCTGAACATAACGGACAATGAGGACTACTGAGAACTCAAGAACAATGGCACTGGGTTTCTGATCCTACTGCACGTACTGGCTTTGTGGGAGCCTAGGCAGTTTGGATGCCCAACTTACTAGACCTGGATGGAGGTGGGGGGTTCCTTGGACTTCCCACAGGACAGGGAACCCTGATTGCTTTTCGGGCTGAGGGGGGGGGACTTAATTAGGGGAGGGGGAGGGAAATGGGAGGCGGTGGCTGGGAAGAGACAGAAATCTTTAATAAATAAATAAATTTAAAAAAAATACAATTTTTAAAAGAGTTTAAGCAGAAGATGAGAGAGAATAACGCTTCTCCCAGGAGCCTTGCTATTTAATGAAGGCAGCAATGCCAGGCTCAGGTAACTTCCCTTGTCCCCAGACAGAGAGCTTATTGACCCTGTCCTTGGTTGACCACAAGAACTAGACTGCAAAGTCCCTCAGCTAAAGAAAACACATACTTTGGGCTTGAACATAGAAAGATCCTGCTGAAGCTTACCTGGACGCGCCCTCCCTCCCTGGTCCCCAGTTCTCACAGCAGTAGAAGTTGAAATGCAAGCAGCCAAGGAAGAAAGGTCCTCAGTGGGCTTCCCCAGCTGTGGGCCATACCTGCTCCAGTACCAACTTGCAGGCAGGCATGATGGTATAAATGATTGCTCTGGTAGTAACCAATTTCATTCCGTTTGGGTATGAAACCCACTCTATAAGAGCGAGCTCATGCCTGGTGCTGGGGATCTGGCCAAGGCTCATGGCTGGGGAGCTCATAGACACTAGGGTGAACCTGCTTCTGCCATGCTGGATGGATATGTTATTAAACTGCCTCCTCAAATAGAAGGACAGTGCTGCCTTCAGATGTGTCGGGGAAGCTTCTCTTTTTCATGAACAGTGCTTAGTGCAAAGACTCAGGACTGGTTAAGGTGCTGAGAATAAGACACTGCTGAGTGCCCAGCCTTAGAATGGACATCCACATCACCTTTCTGAGGGTCAGAGAACATCACAGAAGAGGGGGCAGAAAGAAAATAAGAGGTGGATGATAGAAATGAGTGCTATATAGTGTTGTCTTCTGGGCATGATACGGCTGCTGCATGTAGGCGTAAGTCATAAACAATGCCACACCAGTTTGGAATTATGATTAATAGGGTGGTATTTATTTAAAGGGGAAAAAACTTACAGATCACCGTCAGCCCTCTGCGCAACCAGGAAGGGAGTCTAGTTGCCGGTGGAGCAGGAAGTGAAGAGAGAGAGGAGAGGGAAGTGGCCGCTTTTTTAAAGAGAGAGAGACCACGCCCCAATGGGCTGGTATCTCAGCAGCTATAGGCTGGAGGAACGGGAGGACCTCCCGCAACAGCTGCATTCATAGATCTACAGGGGTTGCTGTTTGCCTGCACAGGGCCCGCAGAAAAATGGACCAGTCAGCATTCAGTTATGGATGAAGGAGGGGCTCATGGGGCCCAGCACTGGCCAGGCAGATATTGGCAGCTCATTGTTGCTGAAGGATGGGGAGTCCTTGTTTTTAATGGTCTAGTTACTACTAAATTGCCCATGCTCCAAATGTGTAGCTCCATTCACATATGAATAGCCTTGGTTGAACACAGTCACAAAGCATAAACAAAAAGATCTGATAATAAGAGGGGGACTCGCTAGTTAGAAACAGTTGGGAGAAGAAATCTAAGGAAGAGAGGGAGGGCAAGGAGTGAGAAAAGGAGAAAGAGACATGTACAAAACAGCCAAAAAAGTAAATCAATTTTTAAGATGAAAAAAATTAAAATAAAAAAAAAATCAATGAAAGAAACCATGCTCCATACCAAAAGGACCAGACAGACATCTATGGAACATTCTGATACAAAGATGGGCTGAATTCTTTTATGTTGCATTTGCTTAATCCTGTAAATCTGTGTTGCTTTGTCTGTCTGAAACACCTGATTGGTCTAATAAAGAGTTGAAGAGCCAATAGCGAGGCAGGAGAGAGAAATAGGGCTGGTGGGCAGAGAATAAATAAGAGGAGAAATCTAGGGAGGAGAGCGAGATGAAGAGTGAGAAGAGGAGAGAGAGAGGAGGGCACTGGGACCAGTCACCCAGCCACACAACCAGCCCTGGAATAAACAGGAAAGAAAGCTATACAGAATAAAGAAAGGCAAAAAGCCCAGAGGTAAAATGTAGTTAAATAGATGGAGTCAAATGGGATAATTTAATTAGAAAAGCTGGCTAGAAACAAGTCAAACTAAAGCCAGGCATTCATAAGTAAGAACAAGTCTCTGTGTATTTAATTGGGAGCTGGTGGCAGGCCCCCAAAGAGTAAAAAAAAAAAAAAAAAAAAAAAAAAACAAAAACCCAGCTACATTGCCCCAGGAAGTTGGGCCTAGAACTCAAGTCAGGAACCTGGAGGCAGGAACTGCTTACTCCCCATGGAGGGGAGCTGCTTACTGGCTTGTTCTCATGACTTGCGCAGCCTGCTTTCTTAAAGCACCCAGGACCACCAGCCCAGGGATGATACTGCCCACAGTGAGCTGGGCCCTCCCATGTCAATCAGCAATCAAGAAAATGTTGTACAGATAGGGCCATGCCAGCGTGATAGAACTAATTCTTTGGTTGAAAGTCCCTCGGAACACATCTAGACTTGTGTCAAGTTGTCGAAAACCACCCAGCACAAGGAATGGTGCAGGAACAGCGACTTAATTGGAAGTCAAGATAACAGATAACACAGATAACAGATAATACAGATAACAGATAACAAACACAAGGCCAGCACACAGAGTGGCCCATCCAGGGCACTCATTATCCTGACTCACCACCTGCCCCTTGCCCCATGCACTGAGTTCCTGCTGAAATTCTGCACTGGATGACCCAGAGGCCATGCAGACACAGCAGGTGATGGCAGCATTTATTGTCCAGAGAGCACACTTAAGAACGGGTGGAGCAATATTGAGGAGCCACAGCATCACGCCTGCACAGAGGTGGTTCAGGACAGAGGTGTTAGAGGAGCCAAGAGGATATACCCACTCCTCTTCAGGGAATCTGGAATAAAATTCCCTGAAAAGAAAGAAAGTCTGGAGCAATCTTGAGCAGAACCATCAACAATGATCCAAACAGGATCCTATGTAGGCTCTTTAGTAGGTACTAAAGCAACTATACAAAAAGATAAATAAATAAAATAAGGTTGCATTCAGAAAAGCACAGCAGGGGCACAGAGATGGGAGAAGGGGAGAGAGAGAGAGAGAGAGAGAGAGAGAGAGAGAGAGAGAGAGAGACTGATATGTTGAGCAGCCTGTTTTCTAAAAGAAGATGAGGGTTGGAGGTTTCTAAGTGAGACACTGCCAATTTTACAATGGAATGGTACCTTATGGAGAGACAGAAGGACACAAAAGCTTCCATAGGTGACAGGAGATGGCCAGAGTGGTAAGCAATAGACAGATGATAAGATAGCACTAGGTGCCAAATGCTGCAGCGGTGGAGCGGGCAGTACCATGATGTCATGGCCTTCGCCTCCCAGCACTGAGTGGTTCCAATGATAACGAGGAGGATGGATATCGACCCTGAGACTGGGGGTTGGTAAGGGGGCAGGCGTGGAAGCACAGCCGTACAAACGGGATAAGGAGATGGCAAGACACTTAGGTGGGAAATGGTCGGCTCTAGGCTTTGAGGAAGAAATGCCAGCAAATGAAACATAAGGGAGAAGTAGAAGTCAAGGGGACAAATTTGTTAAACTTGAGGGAGAAGTCTAATGAGAAAAGCAGAGCTCCAAGGGGGACACCAGGAGCCGAGGGTTCTTAGTGAGCACATGATCGTGAAACATCTTCGAGTCAGGGCTTGGGGGACCACGGTGGAAATGAAGAGAAGGTCTCCAGAGCAGAGAAGGACAATAACATTGCCCAGCGATTGAGAGCACCCAGAATGACAGGAACACTCAGCTGGAAGGACATCAGTGTCCCATGTGCCTCACAAAGCAGCACCACGGAGCTCAGTGCACACACAGGACCAAGAGGAGTGAAGGGTCAGCTCCCTGTGGGAAAGCACAGCGGTGTGATGAGGGCTTGAGTCACAGGGGGCTGAGAGAGAGTCAGCAGTCGTAGGCAGGACAGCACTGACTTTCTCAATCAGTACTTTCAGTCTGTATGTTATCAACTCCTTCAGGCTTGAGGAAAAACGTCTATAACTGATCGCTTCAGGGGAACTGTCACTGGGAATCATTTGTATTTTAACACCCTGGTGTGTCAGCGGTGGACAGGGTGAGAACCAACACATGAGAAAGAACTAGGTGTCGCCTTCCACCTCTGCACGTTAAGGCTGAGGGACAGAGAAAAAGAAATGTCTACTGGGTGCCTATGAGCTCAAGCGTTCTGAGGGAGATGCAGAGTCTGTCTGAAGGTTGAAAGCTACACTTCTCCGTGGACATGAGGATAAGCGCTTAGAATGCAGTCAGAAGTTACACTTAAGCAGGGCATGGTGCCATGTGCTTTTAACCCCAGCACTCAGGAGGCAGAGGCAGGAGGATCTCTGTGAGTTCTAGACCCGCCTGGTCTACAAAGCAAGTTCCAGGACAGCTAAGGCTACACAGAGAAACCCTGTCTTGAGAAACCAAAGAAAAGAAATCCCATTGGGTTAGAAAAGTGGTGGGAACAGGCTCCCTTTTGGGGGTCCATGACCTCCCCATCCCCAGATAGTTGGTTAGGTTTCTAATATGAGGCCTGAATTACCCCCTAATTAGTGGTTCATAAGTCCAATACCTGTTGGTTATTCCCAAAAGTACGATAATGGCATTTAAATACTTTGGTGCATATGAATAATTTTGCTGTAGTAAATCCTTTTCATGTGTCTCCATAGACACAGCTTTGGGAATGCTTCCCACATGTAAGTCCAGGAACAGTATTGCTAGTTCTAGCTTAGTTTATTAAAACCAGCCACATGATGGCTGTTCCATTTGACATTCTGCTAGCCCAAAACAAGCTTGGCATTTGCTCCTGACAAACACTTGAGACTGTCAAATTTAAAGTTTTCCTCTATCTGATAAGTGAACATTTTTGCAGTGAGGCTTTTGGTGTGGATGTATTAATAAAGTTGGATAGGCTCTCATGTTTATGAGTCATTAACATTCCTTTACATTAATTATATGTTCATACCCTTGGCCCTTGTCTTCATTGGACTTTATCTTACTAAACACCGACACATATTTAATAAATGACTGTTGTGTTTTTGTTTTTTGTTTTTTTGGTTTTTCGAGACAGGGTTTCTCCATAGCTTTTTGGTGCCTGTCCTGGAACTAGCTCTTGTAGACCAGTCTGGTCTCGAACTCACAGAGATCCGCCTGCCTCTGCCTCCCGAGTGCTGGGATTAAAGGCGTGCGCCACCACCGCGCGGCATGACTGCTGTGTTTATAGCATCATTATCTCCCTGGTCCTGAAACTAAGGTTGAGCTTTGATTTTTACTTTTCAGAAGTCACCTGCTTATGTTTTTGTGTTCATTACTAACATACTAAGTCATAAAAGTAAGTGTCCTATTGGTCAGTTTATGACTTGTATAGCAATTCAACAATATCATATTTTTTAATTTTTTAAGCTTATGATTATTATTTTATTTTATTGATTTTTGTTGAGCTCTACATTTTTCTCTGCTCCCCTCCCTGCCTCTCCCCACCCCTTCAACCCTCTCCCAAGGTCCTCATGTTCCCAATTTACTCAGGAGATCTTGTCTTTTTCTACTTCCCATGTAGATTAGATCTATGTATGTCTCTCTTAGGGTCCTCATTGTTGTCTAGGTTCTCTGGGATTCAACAATATAATCTTAATTATCATTAGAACCATACACATATATGTATACACACATAGATAATGATATATGTAATATATAATAAAACATAGTTCTATTGCTATATTCAGAGTCATGTATATATGCTGTCACCCAAGCAGTGCCCTACTTTTAGAAAAATTGCAAACAACTGGACAATATATTTCGTAAGGTTGGCATAATATATAAACCCTAAAGCACAATTTTCAAGCAAAGATGTTTATATATTTTTGCAGCTCACAGTTTCATCTCATGAAAGCATTATTTAAAGATAGCCAAACATGACCCAATAAAAGCTTTCTGCACGTTGGTAGTTTCAGGGAAAACAGTCCCAAGCTTTATTATAGATAGTACACTTGTTATTTATGCGTTATTTGTAGCATTTGAATGTAAAAGTAAAATGCACACCTTTAAACTTTAAAAAT